TTAAATGACAACCACCATTTTTCAACAAAAGATGCTGAAATGGCATCACCGGCTTACTGTGACTCAAAGGGATTTGTTGTGCTTGATTTGAGTTGCATCAGCTTTGGTGACGTTATAGTTAATAATTCAACAGATTTATTAGCAATAGTGCTTACTGACCCAGTGCTTTACACTGCAATTTAGGCTACAAAGCTGAATAAGTAGAAGTAAACGTGTCAATATGTACTAGAGCTTTTAAGTAAAAAATGTGCTGGACAGCTAAGGTGTAAAGTTTGAAATGAACTAAAGACTCAAAAGCAAACTTTAATTTGTCTAAAAGCAAAGTCCAGAAAGGAACCAAAAGAAATGCACAATCTTCATAAGAAGCCAGAAAAAGAAAATTCACCTGGGAAGATACACCGATGCTATGTGAAAAAGACTAAGAGGAAGGACAGGACTGTAAATACACACAGACAATACACTGGGGCTTGGAAATAAGACGGAAAGAGTCAAAGTTGAAACTAATCAAGATAATATGACAATCTGGAAATAAAATTCAATACCAGAGAATAAAAGAAAAGATGTTACCAAACTAAAACATGAAACTAAAGACAGACAGTAGATGCAAACAAGAAACCCCAGACTAAACATGACTCAGAGAAACCCTGGGGAGGATAGAATAACAGAATCGAGGGAGAAAACAAAACGTAAAAATATTACAAACCTGAAGTGACTCACAAGACTGACAAAGCCCAAGCAGGAAGTCAAATCCTAAAGAGTGTAATAAAAAACCCAACTCAAATAAAGCAACAACAGATGTTAAGCAGAAAGGGACATACTAACAGTATTAAACAAGAATCCAGACCTCAAAAACACAACCAATCCCAGATCCCAGCTGTTACTGGGTAAACTTTAGGGTGTTTTTTTTCTTTTTTTAGTTGAAAAAAGTCAATATTATCCCAAACCTAAGAGATTGCCTGAGGCTCTTCAACTTCTAAGAGTGCATGAACAGTGGCTGGATCGTTCTGTTCTCTAAACATGCTAATATTATTAAACTGTGTGAGCCACGTAAGAGTCAAAAGCTGGCCCTGACACTTTTTGTGTGTTATTTTTTACATTTTGGACAACTGAATTTAAGGGTTTGGATGAGTTGCACCCTTTTGCAGCTTTCTAGCCTTAAGCTACAGTTTGTGACTGGTACTGGATAAACTACCTCTGAGTTAAGCTGATAAACCAAGGAGGCTAAGTCCATTTTTTCCACCTTAACAACGCTTTTGACCGTAAGAAAGGTGTCTCAAAAACTGAATGTTGTGTTTTTGTGCAGTTTTTCAGTAAATTATGCCCCAAAGCAGGGATCCTGACTATCTTTGGTGACTAATTTCCACCGGCATCAGACTGGAGTTTTGCATCAGTCAATACTGACACTAAATCTGCTTAGTGCAGTCATGCTCCTAACATGGCTGATAATGGATGGCAGTGTTAGTGCTTCTGTGTGTGTCTTTTTAAGTTCATCTTGTTGTATTACAGTTTATACTAAGGCCTGGAACCTACTTGTGGGGGTTTGAGCACTACATGCTGAGTACAGAGCCTCAGGAAATTAACACCTGATCTGTGAGCAGAGAGTGCTTTACAGGGGAAAAAAGGTAAAAGTGATGAGGCCTTGAGACACGGCTGCATATCTATTATGCAAGAGTTCCTAATTTTTTGTGCACACGATGACATTGCAGATATACAGCAGGCCAAGCTGTGCAGCAGACACTCCAGTGATGTTATTGTCCTTTTAAACGTTTACTCAGCTTGAATTTACATACCCTGATCCATTTCTGTCGCAAACC